TGAGAGTTTTGGAAAATGTTTTCCTTAAGTTTTGAAGGGAAGTCATTCATTTTCCCTAAATTTGAGGAAAATGAGTTGATTTGGAAAATATTTTCCAAAACATTTAACCCAATCAAACATGAGAAAATTGAAAAATGTTTTCCTTCATACCAAACACACCCTAAACCTCAAGAAATGGTTGTTTAAGCGTCTTATTGAAACAGTTTTGAATATATTTCTGGTTTAAATAAGCTTTAAAAGATGTTTGGTTGTAACTTTATTTGATACTAATATTGACGGCTAACAACTAATAAATAGTAAGTAATTTGTTGTAATTGATTAAATTGTACTCAAAAGAATGCGAGCATCCCACCAATTCCAAGTTTTTGGAATGCCCCATATTCAACTTGAGCATTGGTATGAAAAAATTATTACATTCCTAGTATACCATAAATTTAAATCCTTGCTTAAAGTATATTTCTGGAGAGTTTCAAGAAATCAATAATAACTTGCAGTAAAACAAATTAGTGTCATTATCCCATGAATTAAGCTAAGCGTGCGTATAATTTTACTTTCAACTTCCTTGGAAATGCAATGTAACCAAGTTTAACATATACAAATCTTAGGTCAAAAGAAGTCGCCCATAAAGAAAAAAAAGAAGAGAAGTTATAATGAACAAAAGGAGGCCAAAATTTTACCACAAGTGGTATCTCCACCAGGGTGGGCACAATTATACCTTTGATGAATGTGCCCATTTTGATATGTTTACTATAAACTAGTTATATTTGGTACTTTGGATCTAACAAGCTAGCTAGTGGTGTTTGACTCAAAAGGCTTCATACTTTGACCTTGGAATTGATATATGTGGGATGCATATATTATAAGCATAATTAGCTAGCTTTACTCAAAAGCTACACTTGGTCCCATCAATGATTTCTTGTGTTAGTTTCTCTCTGCCAAATTCATCTAAGTTCATCATATCCTACCTATACAATACATTAAAAAAAGTAGTTAAAAAGAAAGGGTGGTAAGAAGGGAAGTTTGTTTTCATATACAAGTACATATATGTATATTATATCTTCCAATCACTCTTTCTTTGTTCCATTGATGTCTTTATCACATAAAAACAAACAACTTAAAGAACAAGTTGAGATAGGGCCATGAAGAGCAGCATGTTTTGTGCAATCATAATGGCTTTCAATTTGATTAGGTCATTCCCAAACCAAGCAAAGTTCCAAAGAAAGCAAATTATATTGGTGAAACTCATAACGTCAACATATTCAGATGATGGAGTTGCCTTTGCTCACAAGAAACTAATAACTTGTTTTAAAAAGTCTACCTACACATGCAAAGTGCAAACTCCACCTCCTACCACCAACAACCAACTTAGGATGAATTCTCTAGGTTCAACTAAATTCATTATATATCACGTGCAAAAAATATTTATAGTATATACATATAATGAGATTTTGTACTCTCTAATTTTGAATTCTAGATTCGCGCTCTGTGAACTTGGGTTAAAAGAGACAAGGACCTATATTTTTTGGTGGGCGGGTGAGTTCGAACTCTTATTTGTTGGGGGGGGGGGGGGGGGGGTTGGAGTTGTTTGCTCGTTGATCTCTCTTTATGTCAAAACATGTGCAGTTGTTTGCAAATGCAGACTTGTATTGTATGGGTGAGATGATTAGAAATGCTCAGTGCTTACGAGCTAATTAAGCAATGAAATCATTTTATTATTTGTACTTCTCAATGGGGTTTGGGTCTTAATTTCTCTGGGATTTTGATAAGCACTAATGAATAGGTACACGTGGTGACGATGACAGAACCTTTAATTATGCTGATATTAACAAAAAAAAAATTCTCAATAAGACAAAATAACAACCATGCAGTCTCAGTTTTTGAATTTAATTTGTGTAGTTTTATCTACTTTTTAATCTAATGGAAATTAACATATATTAGTGGATATTGCTCCTTTAGTCCTTGTTTCCAACTTTATTTACATAAAAAAAATTAATTTGTTTGGTTTTCTCTTTTGACTAGTATGAAAATAAATAAAATGGCCCCATAAATTTGCTTTATGCTACACTTTTGGAGATTTAAGTCAAAAATGAAAAGAATTACAGAGACATTGAGATCTTTTATTCACAAGATTAGGCTTTAATGTATGGTTAACATGTAACAGGGAAACGCTCATCACGTTTTAACAGTAATTAGGACCTTAAAAAGCACTTAAAAGGAGTAATTACTCTTTAGAATCCTTAAAAGTTAAAAGTAAACTTTGAATTCTAAGATTAGTTTCCCATATCTCATTTCACAATCACAAAAAGTACTTTGTTTTGATTTTGACAATTGAATTTGAGCCCTCTCGTCCTTTCTATTGACAATCAAAAAGATTTAAAAAAAGAGTCTTTCTATTGCAAATTGGAAGGAATAGGAACTTTGCTTATTCTAGAGTTATCTTCAAGAGTAGAATATTTCGTATACCTTAATTACTACTCACTTTGTGAAATATGAATTGTTACTCAACTAATAATCTTTTCATTACTATTATATGATAAACAAGTTAAATAGTATTTGACTTCATACCAATTTTTTTTTTATTTCTTTTGAGCCGAGGATCTATAAAAAATAATCACTATTAAAAATAGAAGTTTCTTTTATCGTGAATTAATAAAAATTTGTAAATAGTCATTCAACACTTTTTTAGTGAAAAAATTTAGTGGGAAATAGTGATTTTTTTTTAGTATCGAACCTTTTTATTTCATAAAGATAGAGATAAGGTTTGTGTATATTTAATCTTCTGTAGACTTTATTTATAAGAGTATATATACTGAATATGTTATCAGTGTTGTTTAAATGATAGCAAATAAAATAGGATGAGAAGAGTATCACTTTCTTGTGGGAATTAGTAGCCACTTCCTTCGTTGCACTTTTCTACTTTTCTTATATAAATTCACCATTGAGATTTCCATCTTTATTAACATTATTATTACTAATAACTTTTCTTACTCTTGTATTGTCTTTGTCACCATTCAACTTCAAAAATCTTCGTTCACACTCCACAAAAAGTCTATTTTTATACAAAATCACTTTCTTGGTGTGTTTTCTCTGGAAAATACTTTCCTTGCCCAAGGATATAATCAATTAACATAATTATCTCCTTTTCTTTTCTATTTTTCTTTCAAGAAATGACACATGACTCGATATATTATATATTAAAATAGGCATAATTATATCGTTTTCAATTGAAAATTTTATTTTATTTTGACAAATTGACACAAATCTACCTAATATGGTGTACAATCAAATATATTAGAACTGTAAAATCAATAATTCATGATATACAGTATATTGGATCCATCACGTGTGTGTGAAAGAAGGGGGATGAAAAATGCTTACATAAACATGATATGATGCTTACATAAGCAACCACCACCAATATTAAATAAAAGAGAGAGAGAGAGAGAGAGAGAGAGAGAGAGAAAAAGAAGTAGAAATTAAAAAAATGTTCCTTAACTTGCTGACACAAGACAACTACCAAATATCCATCATAACACACAAAAGCTAAAAAGGCTACTGAAATACTTAGCAGTAGTGTAGTAGTAGTAGAAGTAACACATATCAAAAGGAAGAAAATAATGTTTTTTTTCTTCTCCCCTTTTGGTTTTGGCCTTATACAATACTTCCTTCACGTGACAACTTCCATCATATATATCTCCATTCTCAAAGTTCTATTATAACTAATTAAGGTTATACCATAGAGTATATATATTTTCAATTATTGATGTATATAAGTTAAATTCTTTAAATTTTGGTATTGTTAATTTTCTCGATATAGTCGTTTCATACCAGTGCGATAAGTTATGACATGAATAAATGGTGAATGGAGTTGGAACTCATATCGTACCAGAACTGAAATGGAATAAGGTTAAGTTGAAGTGTCAAAATAAAGTTTAAGGAAAAATTAGAAAGATTGTATATTTGTTTGGCCAATCAAAAAATTGCTCACGTTAATTTGTTCTTGACATGTACCCATAAACGAACCCGTATAACAAAGTCATGAATAATCTAACTTTCTTATTACCTACTACTCTCTGTCTCTATGTATGTGTTGCATAATCAGTCACAAACTCAAAATATTAATGTAGATAATCTTAACACGATCAAATACTCTAATTAATACCGAATATAATTTGAATGAGATATATGTTCATTTTCTTCGATCGATATGAGCACATAGTTCGAGATTTTTGCGACAAATATTCTATACATTGAAAGAGTCCAGTAGAACTCGACGCTACATGAAATTATAGCATCAAGAGTGGAGGCTATATACTGATTGATTGAGTATAATAACGACATATATAATGTAATTTCACAAATAAAATTTGAAAAAAATGATGTGTATATAATCTTACTCCTTACCTTTTGAAGATATAACTATTTTTGATGAATTTTTTACTAAAGTAAAACAAACATAGTAATCAAGAAACCTATATATATGAATTGAGTATGTGAGAAAATAAATAAATGTTACTAAAAACATAAGTTGAAGACAAGCAATATTGGTAACACCATCGAGTGGACAAATTTTAGAAGCAACAGTAGTTACGTAGGGCCATAACATATATAGAGTAGATAAATTGCAATGCATGTGGTTGCCTTTCGTAGATCATATCTGGATTTTCTAGTACACATGGCATGATATGGATCTAGCTAACTACACATCACATTTTTATATTTTTTTTGACGTGGTAATAGTTCTCAAAATAATTCATTTTATTTATTCCATAAAAACAAAAATAAAATCGTCGACATAGAAATCCAATAAGGGAAATTAAAAGTTTCTTCCATATATACTCCAACATTGCATAATGATGATCTTAATTTGTAATTACATACACTATGGAAATTAAAGTAGGAAATGTAATTTAGTCGTTGGGTGGCTGGCTAGCTGCAAATACTTGTAAACAGAAATGTAATTAAAGTTAATTAGATCCTAACTTACTGGATCTAATTATACAATTAATTAATAATCTAGTGCGGCAAACTAATTTCATCAAGATCATCTAGTGATAGAAAAACTTCATCCAAGCATGATAGCTCCGGCCCATTATCATCATCATCATTATCATAATTTCGTTCGTATACACGACATATTACCCATCCACTATAGTCCTGGAAGGAAGAAAAAAATATAGTAATAATTATACTCTGATCAATACTGAATTAATTCATACATATATATGTTAAAAGTTAAAATATATATATATATATACTTACAATTTTGGAACGGGTTTTTCTCCTAGAAGATGAACGAGTATTTCCAGAAGAAGAATCAGAATTAAGACTAAATTCTTGCATTACCCAATTTGTTTTGACACCTTCAGGTAGCTCACCTAGGTAAAAAGCATAATATTTCTTCATGCCAACATTATTATTATTATTGTCAGTTGAAAATATTGGTTCATCAACTCCTAATGATTTCCAATATCCATTTTCAGTGATTCTACTCTGTGTTCTCCTGCTATAGAAATACCATTTATTGCCTTCTACCATTGCTTTTCCTGCACAACATTAATTTAATGATGACATAATTATCGACCTATTATGAAAAGAATCAAGGAAAAACGTACGTACCATCCAAATCCCAAGGATCATAAGGGTAAAGATTAAGGTCAGGAATGACATCAGGATGGCAAGGTAAAAGAGCAGCTTTGCGTTGGAGAAAATGAACAACTAATTCTTCATCTGTTGGGTAAAAGCGAAAGCCAGGTGGCAGGTTCACATTACTATCCCCCATCAAATTTTGTCTATAAACTGATGGATATACTATATGTATTTGGTAGAGTAGAAGGAAGATATTTATAATGGAGAGTGAGAAAGGAAGGTGTGTTAAATTTTGGGCATCATCATCACCATATATACTTTCATTTCACAATTCTCTCAGCTCTCTCTCTCTCTCTGTGTTTTGCTTCAAACAAGGTTTTGCTTTCTTTTCTTTTAACAAACAATAATAAGTAATCGAATATTTGGGTGGCGGCGGGTGCCTCTACCTATTTATCTCATTCTTTGGATCCAAAACCAATATAATGGGACCTCCTTCTGTTCGACTATGACCTACTTTTTTTTGGCGCAACTGTTTCACCCTTAAATAAAAATCTTAAATTAAAGTATTGAGTATGAAATGAATTTTGTTGGGGGTGTAATCTTTCGAATGGACCTTGCAGTGCATGTGTAAACAAAATTGTAAATTTAATTACTTTCTCTGTCATAATTTATATTACAACAAGCTCATTCTTTTTTAAACAGACTAAAAATAAAACTAGATCATTCTTTTTTAAACGGAGGGAGTATAAGTTACAATAATTGACAATTCAAAATATTTAAAAGATTTTAAAATAGACTTGTTTAAATTTTGAAATCCGAAAAATGCTAAATTGAGACGGAGGGAGTACATATTTATGACTTTTCAAATGTTTGTTAATCCTTGGGCAAAGCCTAATTAATATGGTAGGATATGACTTCAGAAACAAGGTAATTATATTGTACTTACAAAATGATTTGTATATAATCTATATATGTGCGGCTTACTACTATTGGAAGATCTAAAGTTTTATCTGATTAAATATTAATGAAATATTAATTCGGAAAGGTGTATTATATTGATGTAATTTTCTAAGATGTATCTTGTTGATCAATCTTTTTTAATTTAAAACAATATAATATGTTACAACTTGAGTTTGACTTGTAGATGCAACTTGTTGAAATCTTACTTTCTTAGGTACACTCCTTGGTTGCCAATAGAACAGTATGATGGTGATAATTCATTAAGAATGGATTTGCCTACACATATTTCATAATTTCTTATGCTCATCTTCAATGTTCATTTGTGGATATAATTATGGGATTTCATATTCTTTGTATGTGTCAAAAATGGTCTATGTTATGTGTATCGGTAAATTTTATTCGGATGATGAGTTGTATTTTTTTGAAAAATTTACACATAAATTAGTAACTTTAGTGAAGTAGAATAATTTTATGATTTTAATGATACAACCAAATAAAGTTAAATAATCAATACGTAAATACTTGGTATGCCATAACACTTACCTCATTGGCCCAAAATGTTCCTTCAGTTCTTAATCCTATTTATTTGGTCGCTGTCTAATAACCATTAGCTGGAATTATTTTTTTCCTAGAAGTGTTAATTGATATCCTTTTGTAAAAAAATTATATTGTATAGTTTAGTAAAAAAAAATTATGTACTATATTATATGTTGAGTTTTCTTAATTTTTTTAAACTTTATTTATGAAAAATTTGACCGATAATAATGAGAGTTTCTCGAACCTTACAAGGAGATGTGATTATGAGTAATTCAATATTACTCCATTCTTTCAATTTTACTTGTCACATTTTGACTTGAAAATAATTATTGATATATGTATTTACCAAACTATCCATGATGTCTTGGAAAATAAATATTTAATATTAAGGGTAAAACATGAATAAAAATATATTATCTCTTCTTGATAGGTTAAAAGTAATAAATAAAATGAAAATCTATTTTAATAAAAATGAATGAAGAAAGCACCTCTTGACAATTAAAAGTGAACGAATAAAGTATTTACCAATACGAGATTGAAAATGATGGGTTCTTGGATCAGAACAAAAATTGAGGTAGCATTTATTTGGCTGAATCACGCCAAATTAAAGTGGTAAATTTTACTATAGGCAAAATTTGGTGGCTTCATTTTTACTTGGTGCTTAAAATAGATGTACCTATTAGCTAGTCTAGTAAATTTATTGGGAAAATGTGGGTTATCATCACACTTCACGCTTATATCATCTCATATCCACGTGTCAATTAGAGATCCAGATTACCTATAAGTGATACTGCCCATATTATCATAATTAATCTCTTTGAAATAATTGGGTTCTTAATTTTAATTTTCTCTCTTTCTACTATAAAAAAAACAATAATATAGTTATTTATGAATAATGCATTTGGATAAACCTACAAATATTACTATTATCTTGGTCCCATTAATTAATCTCAATGTTTTCTCATTTATATTTGAGCCATTCATTTTGGATAATCATGATTATGAGATAAGTATATTAATGCCTATAGCAGCCAACATTTATAATTTCACCAACCAATTGTATACTAAAAAACATAATCAATAAGAGTTAATGTTTTTATGACCTCCAACTTTGATTATTGTTAATAGTTAACGCTTTAAGAGACTAAATATCAGGTTCATGGACTAATTATCCAACAGATTGATACTCTCTCTATTGAATTTACTTTGTTTTTAATGTATATTCTTAAAAGACAATAAATGTTTAACTTCACATAATGATATTATTATTTATTTAAGTAAGAATTAGTTCTAGCTAGTTAATTTTAGGTTAGACATTTGCTTTCAATACAATGTTGATGTAAAAAACTTTTTTTTATTAATATGAATATTTGAATTGTTTAATTCAATATTCTAAAATATTCTTAATAAAAAGTAGATAGTTTTTTTTTTTGTTAATAATGTTCAATATTATTTCAAGTGAAACTAAAATCATAAAATTTACTATTAAATTTTTTTAGAATCTCACCTAAAGCAGACCTTTACTAGTCTTACCCTTGAGTCACCTTTAATGGTGTCCGTATCTTCAAATTTTGAATTCTCCTCTGCTCTGGTCTATTATAAATAATTGTTGACACTTTCTTCTATAATCCAAAATAAATGAATTTTCAAAGTTCAAGAATGTATTATTATTATTTTAAAAAATTATCCTTTTTTTAATGGACTTTTTAACTAGTTGTTTTAAATCTCAAAATAACTATCTCTACTTTTTAAAAAGAGACCGGGAGGAATAAAAACGATCATATTAACAAATTACCCTTTTAAATTAAGGTTTTTAAATAAAAGATGTGATATACGCCAATAATTCATTTATATCGGAGAGAGTACCTTTCTTGTAAGATTGCACAAAATTTCGTGCGAAAGAATCTTTTGTTTTTTTTTGTGGGGCGCCCATGCCACAAAAACAATATAGGTACTGTGTAAGGCATTATTATTGGATTCTTCTGATGGACAAGTAAGTTTGTGCATTCAAGAATGTATCCATGGGCATAATATATATATATATAGCTAAACTGCTGTGAGTTATGATGGTAGTAATAATGATAAAAAAGACTAGCAACTTCAAACAAGATAGTGATCTCAAGGCATTACCTTTTTTCTTTTCACTTTAAAAAATTACTGCCATTGGGAAAAAAATGTACACCTCACAAAATGGCCCTTTTGTTTTGGTCATGGTCAATTTGGTATAAATCCAATTAATTGGAAGCTGATCAATGATCTCCTGCCTTCATTTTCGTGATAATTATATAGGATGTCTCTTTCACCACTTTGGGATATTGCAACTTGCTTAGATGACCACCGTTGATATAATTGCCGCTTGTTATATCAAAATCTAAAAAATTATAACAAATATTCCTTCCTTTTTAATCATACATTTCATATTTAAATCTTGATATGGAGTCGTTTTTATTAGAACGAAATTTACTAATTGGAATTGAAATTACATTCAAATTTTACTTTGAAAATATATATTTAGTCAATTAAATTAACAAAGAGTCAATTGTAAGGCAAGCGTCTATACTAGACATTATCTAGGTAATATTATAAAAAAGAAGAAAGGTAACCTATTGGGATAGGTCAAACTTTGTTGACCATGTAAATATCAATATCTATCAAATATATATTTCATACTTCATTTTTACTTGTCACTTTTAATATATTCAAGAGAAAATAATTATTAGTTTTTTCAATTAATATGAATATTATAAATAAAATTCTCAAATTCTCATATCAATCATTGTTTCTTAAAAAAACGTGCAAAGTCTAAAAATTGTCAAAATTAAAGTGAACGGAAGGAGTATGTGTTTCATACCCTTAAACGTCATTGCTTTTCTACAAGACAAGAGATGATTTTTTTTGTTTTTACTGAATATTTATTTTAACCACATGACAGGAACTAGGACCAAATTTTTACAGTAGAAATATTAGTTAAACTTATTATTCTGAGATGACTCACCTACCAAATAGATTTAGTACAAGTATAATCCAAAGAAAACACCATAATATCTATGTTAGTACAAACCTAATGTTTTCGTGTTATAATAATTATAATTACCTATAATTCGGTGAGATATTTAAGAAAGAAATACATAATTATTTTAAAGTTTAGACAAATACTTTTAATTTCACTAAGACTAAAGAAATATTCCTTCCCATATAGTGACAAATAATAATTATCTCAAACAATTTATGTGGGAAATAAGCATCATTACAAAGATTAATGAAAAGTTAACCAACGGTGCACTCAAGAATCATTCTTATAGTTTGTATTGTGTGTGTGTTAAAAAAGAAAGAAAGAAAGAGCCGTAATAGAATTTGAAGTGATTAAATCTCTAGTTGTGAAGTGTGAACAAGTGATGACTACATTGTTGTGTCATTTCTTTTAAAAAAAACATTATTTTCTTTGTATAATGTGGATATATCATATGAAATTTGTGGAGGGCCACTTTTTGTTTTCTTTTTTTGTTTTTTTCAGTGTTAGTGGCAAGAAGCAAACTCTATCTTTATCCACGAAACTTCATAATGTGATGTGCTTCACTTTTTTGCCTAACTATATGGATTGATCATCACTTGCATTCTTAAGATAACCAATTACTTAATGGAGCTTTCGATTGGGATAATACGAAAAATCTGTTACAACCCCAATAATAGAAACTATTGGATTAGATTAGGTCATACTTCTTTTTTCCCGTTTCAATCTATTTATCTGACTTGATTTGACACAAAGTATAATAAAGTAATATTTTTAAAAAAAATTATGATTCTAAAATTAAAAAAATATATATTAATTTTGTGATCTTAAACATATCGCGTAAAAATTTAAAATCAAGAAAAACAAACTAAAAAAAAAGTTATACCACAAAATAAAAAGAGTGAGAATTAAAGGGTTAGTTGACATGACTAGAAATGAGCCACGTGGAGGCCAAAAATATCATACTACTTTTGTTGTGTGGGGTTGGAGGAATAGAGCACGAACTACTATTTGTTGTTTTGGGATTGTGTTCTATTTTGTGACGATTGACATGTGGTTTTTTTTTTCCTTTCATTTTTTTCGTATCTTGGTCCCGTCTAATTTAAATACTCTCTCTGTTCCTAATTATTTGTTCATTTTTAAATTGAGACAGCTATTTAAAAATCAATTAATGACATAGTGTGTTTACCATTTTATCTCTATTAATTATGAAGTGGATGGAAAATTCTGCATTTTTCAAAGTAATTAGTCATGGTATAATAGATAAAAAATTTATCCTTATTTGTCAAAATGAACAAATAATTAGGAACAATTATAAAAGGAAAAGTGGACAAGTAATTAGGGACAGAGGAGTATCTATTAATAAGTCTGATAAGTCCATTTTGAAGGAAAATGATTACTATTAATGGTGACTTCATTTTCAAGACTCTAACACCTTTATTTAAGAGTCGGAAGGATATTAATATCACCTCAAATTTTTAATCGAATGTAATTATTTTAAGTTTTTGAATATTTAAGGTGAAGTAGAGACAACTGAAAGGAACCAAAATAATTGTAAGAATTTGTACTGTGTATAGTGAGGAATATGGATAAGCTAACTCAAGTTGGAACTGCAGACACCATTATCTTCCATCTTATCTTCAGTACATCCACCAAATCATGGGCCATACCCACTTACTACTTGGGCTCTCCCTTTCATGGGCTTATTATCTGGATACTCAGGCCCATCCAGTCAATTTTTAAATGGGCTTCGGGTAAGCCTGTTGATAAAAGTGAATATATATCAACAATTGTCCTAGAGTTTCACTCGTGAAATTTGAAACTACGTGATAGTGACTATTTTTCAATTACAAGCGCTACTTGGCATTGATCTCTGTTATGGACCATTTTGGCTGTGTCCAAAACTGCAAGATCTCAGATGTCATATTATTTCATGGTCCTTCAAGATTTCTAATAAAATGTGATGAAATAATTCCTTGGCAAAGAGTCATGTGTAAATGCACAAGATCATAGTAAATTACTAGCATGAAAGTTCACACTATGTATCATGGACAAGTAGGGAGAAAAAAACATGATATGCAAGCATGCAAAATTAATCCTTACTGTTCATATCGAAACTATCTTTTAAAGCTAAATTTTAATAGGTTTAAAATGTGGTATGTTCTAACTTACCAAGGATGTGACCTTAAATGGGAGGTTATGGAGGACACGAATTAGGGTAGAGGGTTTGTATGTAGTTGAACATTGTCTCACTTTTCCTTACATATTAGTTAGTCATAGCATTACTCTTGTAGTTTCTTGTCCTTTGCTTTATGTCTCTATCTGTTGTTTCTTGTACTTTGATTATCGTAGTATTTTGTTGTACTTATGCTCCTTTTTTCAAACTATTTTGTCATGTTCTCTATAGTATTTTCTCATGGTTTCTCCACTTTGTCATTTTTAGTCATTTTTTTCTCGATCTGCTTCTAATTGCTTTTCCTTGAGCCGGGGGTTTATTGAAAACAACCTCTCTACCTTCCAAGGTAAAGGTAAGGTCTGTGTATACTCTATCCTCCCCAAACACCAATCATGAGATTACATTGAGTGTGCTGTTGTAACATATGGTATGATTTTAAATTCATGTTTTGTCCATATAACATGTTAAAATTTTCAGGTGGTTTTAGGACAAAAATAATGAGTATTCCAGGGAGTGTGTCATCCACAGAAAGTTCACTAGCTCTTCATTTTCTTAATTCAGAGTTCTAATAGATTCACTTTAGACCAAATAAACTCAAGACTCCACTAATCAAACACTTAGCTTCCATAAAGTATCTATAATAAATAAGGAATGTTGTATAGGAAAGCACTTGCATGAACACATATATGATATGATTCACATTTCTTATTTCAGTAATAGATGCCATAATTACATTACATCAGCTGATCCACCAAGAAAGTTATTACTAGCAACTAACCAAAAAAAAGAAGAAAAAAACTGTCCTCCAAATGGAGATTTTATGAAGAGAGATTTTGAAAGCAAAATAAGGAATAAAACAAATACTTAACAATTACAAGTTACAATATCATATCCTAAGTATTTAACAGAGAGGAGTCTCACAAAACTGATACAAACATTTATACACAGTTCCAAAGAGAAAACTGAATACTAGTTCATGAGAGTAGAAATCACAAATTTATTGTCTTCCCACAGCAGAGTGAACAGCTTTCACATTATTGCATTTTTCAGGTTTCCCCCAAGCAAAGTCATTAGGCCACCACCATGAACTCTTCCCTCTGGGACAACAAACTCAAAGTTGTTGTTTGTGTTGCTTCTTCCAATCCCAAGGTTGGTGCTTCTGTCATCCAGCTTCTCTGAACATGTTAGTGAGGCCTTCATTGACAAGGGTACCAATACCTGTGGTGGTATAAGTAGCTGCCGTTCAGCTGGCTTATTGAGTGAATGAACCGAATCTGATACCATGCTCACCATAGACGAAGAACGATTGTTCTCAAAAGTGCTCTTTACAGGAGAGGCAGCAGGGACCAGTCCATGGAAAAGTCCTGGTCCAATCATGCCTCCTTTATTCGTATTCCTCCCATGTAACAAGCTGCTGTGAGCAGCACATAGCCCTCCTCTGCCCCTAGCAAACTTCTCGCATTTCCCCTCTCCCCAGCTGCAACGCTTACCACCACCATGAGCCTTGCAAAAGTCGGTGCTACCTTGAGCACTCTTTTCACAGTTTTCAAACTTGCAGCGCTTCCCTCCTCCATGCCTAACACAACAATCAGTACGCCCTCGAGCACTCTTGGTGCATCCTGGAACAGAACACCTCTTCCCACCACCATGGGCAACACAAAAGTTTGTGCCTCCATGTACACTTTTGGGGCAGATACCACCACCATCAAAGAGACACCGCTTTCCACCCCCATGTGCTTTGCAAAGAGGTGTACTCCCTTCAGCACCTTTGGTGCAGCCAGCAAAGATGCAACGCTTTCCACCACCATGTGCTTTGCAGAACAAAGTGCTCCCCTGTGCACCTTTTGAACAACTAGGGAATTGGCAACGGCGTCCACCACCATGTGAAATGCACAAGCCAACTTTCCCCTCAGCACTACGAGTGCATCCTTCCACATTGCACCTCTTTCCTCCACCATGCTTGATGCAAAGGCCTGACTTGCCACGTGCTGCTCTAGTGCAACCTTCAGGAAAGCTACAACGCCTTCCACCACCATGTGCTATGCAGTAGTCGGTCTTACCTTCTGCACTTTTAGTGCATCCCAGGTGCTCGCACCTCTTCCCTCCTCCATGGGCCTTGCAGTATGCAGTCCTACTCTCGGAACCTTTGTTGCATCCAGGTTTCTGGCATCTCTGTCCCCCACCATGCCCAATGCAAAGACCTGTCGCTCCTCGAGCTCCTTTGCAGCATCCTGGAAACTTGCATCTCTTGGGATTGGTCATCTTGCGTGAGGATGTAGCCATTGTCATTGGTTCAGAGAGGTTACTCATTGAGTAGTCAGAGATACAAGAAGGCTCGGAGCTCAGCTCAGGGAGATGAAAATGGGATTTTGCACCCAGCTCTGAAACTTCCTTATTTTGGAAGGATAGTTGGCTGTTCTCAATTCTTGGAGCCAGAAGAAGTGAAGGTATGTACCCACCAGACTTCTTGGCTGATGTGGAACCTTCGTCCAGGATAGGGATCGTTGGCCTTTTACCATCCGAAGACAGCTGATCTATATGATGAGGTGCACCAGCAGTACTCTGAGTGATTGCCGAAAAATCAAGTGCATTGGAAATTTCACCGGTGCTCCTTGAGAGGCCAAGTTTGAGGATAGAATCACTCTCAGATAATAGCCCCTGATTCAACAAGGCTGTAAACCCTTTATTTTTATTAGATCCACCAGGATAACAGTCGTCCGAACATATTGTAGGTGTTGGCCCCAAACCAAGGACCAATTTACACCCATCATCAATAGCATTTTGTTGCATAACATGGCTTCCGCTGTTGGTTCCACTACCTCCAAATCTGACACACTCATTTCCTCCATAACCAAAGCAATCTAATCTTAATGTTGTATCACTCCTTGCGAGCTCAACATCTGGAACACGGTACATATTGTTCTTATTAGGATCAATGGATGTGATCATACTACACTAGGAAAATGTTGACCTGAAAAATAAAACAAACTAAATAATCTTATCACATATTAATAGAGAAACTCATAAATCAAAACAAAGCAAGTGAGTAAACTAAGTCCTAATGAGTTACCTCCTCCACTCACAAACCCTGATGTGTCAGCTCGATCCATTTTATCTAATCTTGTAGAGGGGCATCAAGGGTTGTCTAATGCTCTTATATGGTAAATAAGACCAAAGCGGGTTTCAGGATTAGAAACTGATGACAGAAGATACCAAAAGAGAATAGCAGATCATGTCTCTCGGTAGAAATCTGTTTAATAACCTGAAAAAAAGAACAGAAAACGGCATGTCAGAATTCCTCAATGGCTAAAAATATGGGAGAAGGGAAGGCTTTTTTGGCTCAAGCATAATATTAGCAATCACAAGCAATACCACCATGAAGATCCATTAAAGATCTAAAGAATAAAAAGACAGAAGGCAGTATTTCCGAATTATCTGCTTCTCTTTATTTAACATACCAAGAAAGAAAAGTTGCATCCTACATAAATCAAAGTTAACAATAAAAAGCGCAGTTTGACCTTCAAAAGTTAAATGGGAGCAAAACTTTTTCGATGGAGGAAATTGGTTGTAATATTTGTGAAAATAAAAGGGAAAGAGAAACAGAATCATTCAAGAACCAACAGGAAAATAGAGGTAGAGAAGGATGATCTTTAGAAAATCAGATATAAAGTACTAGCAATATTATAAATAAGTACTACAGCCTAAAAAATTTCAGCAGTGTGCAAAACCAAGATTACTATACTAGAGAGGTGAGAGGGAGAAGCTTCAAATGAATGATATCTACACAAAAATAATTCTAAGAATCGAAACTGAAGATAAATCCAAAATTTTTATATAACGAGTTCAGCATACATGTCATCCAAGCTATCCGATCATTAGCAACTGATCTATGATCACCAATAGTGAGAATTACAAGGCAGCAATTAATTCAATCTGGACCATAAATAGGCAAAAGGTTGGGCAACAATGTTAAGGAACCATCTATTGATTTAATGATGTCAACAGGTACCATTAGTGCTGTTAAGAAGAGTGTTAGACACCGATTTCTTGAATTATAATCAAGATTTCTAAAAATACGGCACATAATAATTATGATATAGGTCATGCTATCCGTGCTTTGTAATTGAGGCAAAATCATAAGTGCTGAAAAGGGTACGAGATGGCTACTCTTAATCTGACTATTTCCATAACTCCGTAATATTGAGCAAAAATAGTTGAGGATCATCAGAGGTATTTAATAGTCTTAAGATTGAGTGTTAAGTTAACCATTTTCTCTTGTTTTAATGAATCAACTATTTCTCAGCACTGGCATCAATCCTTCTATGTCACACCTCTGAAGATCTTCGAGAACAATGCTTAAATCATCACAGAACAAAGATCCTCCAAACCCCGGTTTCAGTTGTCCTTATGTCCTCTTTTCAATTTTTTGTTTCCTTTCCAGTTAACTCAAACCCTATATGTATGTTAAGAAATCTACTAACTATGCACAAATACTAAATTTAGAACCTATTAACTCAAATAATCAAGTTGATTTAGTGGCATCTCGAACCCATAAAGTTCAAATCTTGAATTCGACTCTGCTTTGGGGTTGACCTAGCTTTAACTTCAAGAACTAGCAACCCCATGCTTCCCTATTTCAAACCCAACAACAATAAACCCAGAGTAATCACTGTAGGGAGGATAGATTGTACGCAGACCTTACTCCATACTTCCCTATTTCCAAAGTGTTCAAGAATTATTCTTGAAACTCCTTAATGACCCTGTCAAACACAAATTATGCTAAACTGGATCTATAGCAGAAACTCCAAAAGGATTTGAAAAAATAAAAACATGAGATTCAAAACTTTAGCCAAAGACTAACAATACTATCATGTTAAGCAAACAAGTAATTTTAACAACACACAACAACAGCAACAAAAAAAAAAAAAAAAACTTTCCAATTAAAAAGTTTTGGGATTAATTACACAGGAAAAAAAAAAACACAAATCTTTCATAATTACGAGAAAAATAAAATAATCTGTAATAAAAACGCAAAAAGCAGGCTGTATGTGAAGGAAGTTGAAAAAGAAGAAAAAACAGAACAAGAAAGAGCACTACTGTAAACAGGAAAATGAGAAGATAGAATTAATGAGTAAAATCAAAATAGAATTATCAAGAAGTAAATTACAGGTACCCATTATAGGAGATTGAAAGAATGAAAAAAAATAAAGAATTCAAGAAAATACCCTTTAGAAGAAAGATTCCCATTACAATTTCAAGAATCGAATTGAATGAAGCCACCTTTTTTTCAGAATTGTGTATTCTTCTTCTTCTAGAAAGAGAAACTGAACCTTTTTTGTGCTCCCACAAAGTGGAGAGTATAAACCAAAAAAAAAGAAGAGAGAGAACAATAATTAGAAGTAAAATGTTTTTATAAATACAACTAAATTAAATTCATATTCTGCTCCATTCACCTCTTATTAATATTTCATCATCATCAAGCCTACACCCCAATGGCCAATCACCTTCTTCTTGTTCAATTTTCCATTTTTGCCCTTAACTATGAACAGCAAAAATACTATTATATGTAATTGTCCTACCCCGTTAGTGATATATAAAGTTTGTTTATTTTTATATTCAACATTTCTCATGTGTTTTGTTAATACATTTTTTTATCATAATTAGGGTGTCATAACTTTACATTTTTTATTATAAAACAAAATTAAATTTGTAAATAATTAATCAACTAAAACTTCACTTGTTATTTTGAATATAAATTTCACTATTTAAGAGTGAGAAATCACAATTATATAGGAGTATTATTTTGTTTTTGGTTTGTTGTGATGGCCTTTACCGTCAATAGCACAGCAACTGTATGGACGGTTTTAAGCTAACGGCCCATCGATATGAACGTTGCATACTTTTATGTGAGAGAGACGTGGGATTAATTTACGAATTTGTCCTTATTGAAGTTTACAAATGTAGCAGAATATAAGGGTTGGAGCTGTCATTTGAATAATTTGTAGGTCATATTCAGATGACCTAAGCAATGTCAGTGGAAATAAGTGGTCTATGTTAAATTGTCGTGTCATACCCCCTTACCCCCCCCCACACACACAAAAAAAATAAATGTAGTATTTGAGAGCTTTTAACTGAAAAAATCTATAAAAACTGTGGGCTGGCATAGTACTACGGTTTATAGTTAGCGGCTCATGACGTACGCTATTTCTTACCTACTTTTTTAGTATTATTTTTTCCCATCGTCTACATTTAAGTTTTAATTAAATTCGAATAGCATATTGGATTTATTTGTGGATATCATTTCTTACAGTATTTTCTTCATATTCAGAATTTGAACTTGCTATTTCTGAATAGAACTGATTGTTTTAGTATATTTATTTTCAAATGTGTCTATCTAATAATTTTATTATTATTGCGTCTCAATGTATATGACATTGCTTAATTTAATTTTAAAATTGATATGTAAGATTAAATATATTTTTTAATGTTGGATAAATAAAAGTAGACAAAAAGACTAATATATTATGAACAAGAAGGAGTAGTTAATTTAGTGATTACAGCCTATGATTCATATTATATGATATTTTTTTTATCTTCATATTTAGTCTAAAAGAATTTAAAAATAAATCAAATAATAAACATATCTTATGGAGTACTTTTTAACATGATTAATTGAATTTTATAGTTAAAAATGTGAAAGCAAAATGATTGGGTGCAGCTCAGACGATCCGACACGAGCTTTAACGGCTCCGCTTATGATTACGTAAGTATTACTATTTTGTTTACCAAATTAAAGGCCTACTAGTTTCAAAAATTCTTTTTAAAGGCAAACAAACTGACAAAATTATTTGTATGACGTCAATTAAGGACAAATAATTTTAAATAATTGTGGCACGAGCCTTCCTCAATCCCCATTCGCTGCATCTGCATACACTTGATAATTGGAATCTACTTTTTTTATTATTATTATTATTGTCGTGCTTATTAAAAAACAAATGTTTTAATTATTAAATACTATAATTTTATATTTACCTAAAGTAAAAATAAGTTGAAGGGGGTATTTTGAGTGGCAGCTACTCCCTCCGTCCCTATTTACTTGTCTATATTTCCTTTTTTAGTTGTCCCTATTTAGTTGTCCATTTTGACAAATCAAGAAAAGACAACAAATTTTTTCCTATTATACCCTTATTTACACTTCTTGAAAATTGTAAAAGTGTATGTTGTTTCCCTCCAATTTATTTCACTTGAATTCAAATAAGTAGTTGTAATTTTGAAGTGAAAAATTGTCATAAGGGTAAAATTGTAACTTCACTGTGCTAATCATTGTTGCCTTAATCTGTGTGTCATTTCTAAAGTGGACAACTAAAAAGGGACGGAGGGAGTATTCTATTATTGTGGATTCCAAGAATGTAATAAACTTGCGTTGGGCATAGATTCACATCTTCCCTTATTCTTATCCAAGTTAAAACTTGCGTTGGGCATAGATTCACGTCTTCCCTTATTCTTATCCAAGTTAGACCAATAGGATTCTATATATATTTGGTGACGTAGTTTCATTCAACATTCGAACATAATACACCTACTTACAATACTCCTTAATTTTGTTTACAATAAGTGATTTCATATTTTACAAATTTGATAAAAAAAATATATATATACAAGTGATAATTACTTTTGTTGTCTCAAATTATCTGTTATATTATATTTTATATATCCCTTGAAAAAATATTTATTAATCTGATTATTCTCTTTCTCAAAATTATTTTATCCTCATTTATGTGTTAAGATATAATCCTTCTTCACTAAATATTTTCTTTATTTGAGGGGATTGTTGTCTTCAAGAACAACTTCATCTAAAGATAAAATAGAAAAAATAATTAATTCTGTCTTGTACCCTTTTTAGAAATCTAGATAATCTCAGGCTAATTGAAGTGTAAAAAATAAGAAAGACATTAGTATATTTCTTCTTTTTAAATTTGCGGGGTCTAATACTAAATGATATTAACAAATTCCTAAAAAAGTTTTTTTTAAGAGTTAAATTAAGGTAGTCATTACCCCTCTTAATTAGTATTATTAAGTAATTTTCATAATGGGTGTGTTATAAACTTCAAAATCACTTATTATGGATCCGAGAGAGTATTTACATAAGTTATAAGTACATCATTTGGTTGTCCAGATAAGAAAAACTAATTCCTATATAATTTTTTGTAACATATGATTGATAATATTATATTAAGTTATAATTAGAATTTATATATTTT